ACAAATACTAGTAATAATCAAAATATAAATAATAATCAAAATATATTATTGGCCCAAATACAGACTCTTACTAATAGTATTCAGATATTAACTGTCAAATTAGATAATATAAATTTACTACTTGATACATATTAATACTTAACTGCTAAAAGAAAGTCTAAAAATTCTAGAACTACTTCTTATGAAATCATATCTGTAAGTTAATCTCATAAAGAAGTAGTTAAAGAAAATGAGAAATCAAATAACAATAAAGAAGATAAACAAGAAGATACTTCTGAAGTTATTCTTGATCAGAATATGAATAATACTAGATCATCTAAAACTCTTAAAGAAAAACTCGTCAAGAAGATTATTTGCAAAAAGAAAAGCAAAATTACTTTACTTGTATTTACTATCATGGCTGAACTCTATAATATTCTAAAAGATTTGACTTAATAAAAAGCAAATATAACTGTTATCTAACTTATTTAAATCTCATTTTTATAAAGAACTTAGTTATTAAAAGAAATATATCAAGTTACAATATTCAAGTCAAAAAGAAAAAGAAGAGTATTGCTTAAATAAAAACTCAAAATCACTTTTGCCTGATGTGAAGCCAAAGTTGAATTAATTTAATCATTGATACTAATATCTTTAAATATATCACTATATATAACTTTATTAAAGATATGAAATTGAAAATATAATATAGTTTAAATATATTAATATCTAATATAAATAAAGTATCTAAACAATCTCTTGAAACTATTGATGATTTACTATTAAATATTAATGAAATTATAATTCTTATTGAAGTAGATATTACTAAAGTCAAAATAATATTTAGTAATTATTAGAATAAACTTTTTAAATAAAATTAAAGCCAATATTAATATCAGAAAAAAACTTCTTATATTTGAATATAATAATTAAAAAGAAAAAGTATTAATTAAATTTATCTATAGTGATAGAGAAAAATCAATATTTAAAGATATAAGTTCTGAAGAAGACAAATCAGAAGAAGATTCTGAAAGTGAATTTGAGAAATAATACTTGAAAAAGAAGACTTTTCTTATGTAATAACATGATAATTAGAATATCATAATCACTAGATAACAAGAAGTTTAAGATAATGATAGTATTAAAATCATTATCAAAGAAGTTTAAACTCTTGTAGAAACTTCTAACTGAAATCTAAGAGATGTTAACTTTGAAGAAATACTATTTTAAATTATCTGAAGTATTAAAAGAATTTATAAAGTATAAGCCTATCAAGAAGAAATTAAAATCAGATAGAAAAAACATACTTAAGAAGATTTCAAATAACTTGATAAAAAGTTTATATAAAAATGTAATTAGAATAATCAATAGTTATTTAATTAGCAAAAATCAAATAGCTAATACTAATATTATAGAAATCTATTTATATCTAATTATTAATATTACTAATACTATAATAATCTTGCTAATTGAATTATAATTAAAATTTATAAACTTTTCTATACTAAATTCAAGATAAATAAAGACTAGGCTAATGAAATTAAATAAGAACTTTTCATTAATAAAAGAATTAAGAAAAGTTTTGATTCATATTAATTCACATTATAACAAATTCATCTCAACTCTTAAATTAAAAAATATAAAGAATATAAGAAATATGTAGATAAATATTATATTAGAATATATTTTAAAATGAATAAAAAAAAATAACTATCTATAATAACTGTATTAGAGAAAAATAATTAAATCTTCCTATTTGCTCTCAATATAATGAATATAATAAACTCTAAGAAATATTTATTACTAGAAACTATAAGAAGAAATATTTTTATATATATGAATATTAATATATCTATTAGTTTAATTATGAAGAATAGAGAAAGAATATCAAATAATTAATAAGCTTAGAGAATGAGAAATACTATTAGAAGTTTATGATAAATATGATGAAATTGACAAAGTAATTCTATCTTATTTTATATATAAAGATGACTTTATTCATAAAATTATCTATGAGAGTTCTGTAAAAGTCTCTGCTATTAAAATATTTTAATATATTTATTAATAACTCAGTATTAATTAAAGAATATTTAGTTTATTAACAAGATAAAATAATAAATCTTAATTAATATCCATTTTACAAGAAAGATTTCTTGAAATTCTCTTAAAACTAAAATCTATTTAAATATGAATTAAGAATTAAACTTATAAAACTTAAATTAAACTAAATAACTAAATAACTAAACTATATTAAACTAATTAACTATCCAATTTTACTAGCTAAGATATATTACTTTTATATATTTTAGAGATTATACAAATAATACTTTTATTATAATACTTATACTAATTTTATTATAATCTAAATATCACTTTAGCTAGTATTATAATATTAATTTTATTATGATAATATTATTAGTTTTACTATAATAATTTTACTAACTTTGCTATAATAATTTTGTTATAATCATTATATTTGTGAAATTTTTTAAAAATATTTATAAATAATATTCTTTAAAGCTAATATCTAATAAGATATAAATAATTATTTATCCAATTATATTGTGATATGAAGTGATTAACAATATATAACTAATTGATATTCTACTAAAAATTCATATTACAATAGAATTCTCTTTATTAGTATTTTACTTCACAAAATTTAAGACTAAATATCAAGTTTTTATAAGACTTAGCAATTTTTTAAAATTATTATTAGTTATTCTTTCTAACTTTATTGATAATAACTTTCTTAAACTTAGAATTGTTTATTTTGAAATATGTTAAAATAGTTTGCCAATTCTACTAATAATTTTTTAATATCAGAAGATTAAGTTTTCAGTCATTATTTGTAAAAGTTTATTATATAAGAATAGTTTTTCTCTAGTTGAATCTGTAATGATAATGATATTTATTATCTCTTGATTTGTTTATAATATATTAAAATTGATATTTCTATTAGATGAAGTTGTAATTACTATTTTTACTGTAATATTTATTAAAGCAATCCTTGTTTTTGGTTTATAAAGTGATAGTATTTTAATAAAGAGTTTGAATGAATAAAAAAATAAATTCTATTAAGTAATTAAATAGGAGTTATTTATAATAAATAATATTTTGCAAATAAATATAATATAGAATAAATATATTAAACTAAAGAATAATATAATATAATTAAATTTGAATTACAAAAATTCTAAATTAATATATTTTTTAGAAAAATTATATAAAAGAGAGTTTTCTAAATAATTAGATCTATAAATAGGCTGATTTTTATATTCAATTTTCATATTATAATATATAATTCCATAATTTTAACTATATTACTGCTAATTCAAGAGTTGATATAATTTTGTATCATATCAAATAATTACTCAGCTATACAATTTCTATTAGTACTTTCTATATTAATTTGATTTTTATATCTGTTTATTATTCTACTATTAATTTTTTTTCTATTTTTATAGTAAAATTATACTTTTTTATTATTCATTTTAGCATTATTAATAACATGATTTCTTTATGAATTTCTCTAAAATCAAATAAATAAGAATATTATTTTATTATTAGTATTCATTTTACATTTTTTTTTATTATATCTTAATGAGTTTATTTCATTATTAAACTAGAAATTGTCATTTTCTTGAGAAACTAATATTTTTTCATTATTATTTGATCTGTTAAGTTATAATTATTATTATAGTATATAATAAGAGGAGGGCCATTTATCATGTGATTTTTAGTTTATAAGAGGGCTACCCCTCACCCCCACCTGATAATAATATAAAGCATTTTTATTGGCTAACATTAATTTAATAATATAATTTAGTATTACTTAGAAGTTATGTAATATCATTAACTTGATATCGAAATACATTCATATTTGATGCTAATAAAATTGTTAAAGCTTTCAAAAAGACTCTCAAAAATCTTAGCGTTGATTTCTATGGTAATTGACTTGATTAGGAGTGTCTTGAGGTCACTTTCGTTAACTGTCTGGTGGTTCTACCAGTAGGTTCCAGATAGAGTTAAGAATAAACTTGTAGTTAATTAGTGTCAGCATTTTGAAAAATAAAAGTAACACCAGAAATTACTCATAGTGGTCTATGTTCTTGTGTTAGCCAAGTATTTGATGAGATGACAATACGACTCATTGGAAAAACCTTGGGGCAATATGGAATATCATTATTATCTCAAAGATCAATCTTACCTAGTTGTGCAAGACAGTTTGGGTTTCATCCTTACTTAAGGGACTCATCAGTTGGCATAGCCACCAAGACCCAAAACTGCATTGTGATTGTCACCATTATCAGTTTGAGGTCATCATAATAATAAAAAAAATAAAAGTACAAAAACAGCTTGTTCTCCAATTGTAATAGTAGTCCAAATGGTAAGTATATAAAATAGTCGCCACTTAGAGATTACACAGAAAGGAAAGCTGCAAGATGGTTGTTTAGTTGTCCTGTTGGTATTGATGATTTTTGCATGCAAAAGAGTGGCGATATTTTGATCAGGATATGATTTAGGTTATCCAAGATTTTTGTGCGTCAAAAAACTCATAACTATAGTAACACACTTGCGTAATGTGAGCTTTCTGATGTTGTCTATAAGATTTGATCATTAACTTTTCATTCTTTATTAATAGAACATTTTGTTATTTTTCTTGAGAACCTATCAGAATGGGACAAAATTTGAAAGATAGATAGGCTTGTACTGGTGTCATTTAGTTTGGTTGTATATGCAGATTATCACCAGATATAATTATTTTTAGTATACGTACAGTACCACATATAATTATACAAATACCCCCCCTGTATGATAGTAATATAATAGATTAATTTTATAATATTCGAGATCAAGTTGCATCATGTTCTCAATTAATTGGATTTACTACATAAAAACAAATATGCAAAGCTTTTTATTAGCACCCAAGTTTAATAAAGCTTTTTTTTACAAAGAACTACAAGACACATACCAAGAATTTTGCAATGTCTATGCATATCATAAACAAGTAATCCTTTATGACCCCAATTCCAGTCACCAAAAACTCATACAAGAATGTGTAATCACTTGGAAACAAATCAAGCACCAAGACAAATCACTAATTCATAAAAAAATACATGAATATTTTAATACTGTCCCTTCCCATACTCACTCTCATCAATCTTACTTTATACGAGATAGAATAGCCAACCCCAGCCCTAGTTACTCTTTATTTCCCCCTTCTGCAGGACATGCGCAAGATATTAATATCGAAAAATTACTGAAAAATACTATTGGCCAATAGGATGTGGTTGAGAAAATTAAAAAGACTACAAAAGAATTGTTAGAATATGAGCGAATATATGCACTTACAACAAATGAATCACTCAAAGAAATATTGAAATCTACCATTACCACTGAAAGAAAGCTGATCAAGGATCAGAAAATAAGACTTGAAAGATTAAAACACCATGCTAGCATACAAACAAAACTCATGGCCAAAAAGGCAAAATTGCTTGAAGAAAATATCATAGAAAAGTATGATAGGCCTGGAAGACTATCAGCAGCCATGCTCCATCCAGATTTCTGGGATAAAATTCATAGTTGTATCAAATTTGGAGCCGTTTATACAAAAAGAAGAAAGATCACTATCAAAGTGCGGATAATAAAGCATTTACAGCAAGCACTTGAGGAAAAATACAATATCTACCTGTCTCGCCAGTGCTTATTTACTTATCTAGAATCTCGTCATTCACACATATTTGCTGCCTGTCACCATCATCATCTAGCCAAGGTCAATTTTACTTCAGTATCATGAACAGAGATGAAACCCCATATTGATGAACATTATTGTTTAGCCTCTGTCAAAGCTGCCAGAATTTTTGTTGAAGTCTTTGTGGATGAAGCAGTTATTGTCTCTCAGGATGACAAGGCAAAAATTGGCTTGGGAATTCCAGCAGTTGGTCATATATTTAAAATTATTCAGATGATTTATGAGCCAGCTACTATCGAAGATCATGACTTTCCAGCTGGCAGTAAAATGAAATTCATACCTTCAGTCTATCTCGTTATTGATCCAGCTGATTCAAATGATAATCTATGATCAGGCCAGCTTGCAATTTTTGTTAGGCCAGAGTATTTCATTAACACGTCATCATCAACTCATATATCAGACCTTCAAAGCCTTATTGAAAATCAATATTTTACCAGAATCTTTATGAAAGATAATAATATTAGACTAATTTGAGTGCTTTTTGTTGATGGAGGATCTGATAAGAATCCAAGATATATAAAGAATATCATTAAATATTACGAGCTTTTTTGAACTCTGAATCTCGACTATTTGACTATATGTATCCATGCTTCAGGACAAAGTGCATACAACTCTGTTGAACATAGTATGGCTTCTCTATTAAGAAAGCTTGCTGGTATTACTTTTCCTGTTGATAAGTTCGGATCACATCTTAATAGCCAAGGAAAAGTAATAGACGATGAATTGGCATGACAAAATTTCAAGTTTGTGGGGAAAAGTTTGTGTGATATATGGAAAAAAGATAATATATATGGAAAATCTGTTATAATGGAGTACGTCGACCAAGAAAATAAACCATTTACCAAAATAAAGTCTTTAATATCATGGAAGTGGATCAAGAATTATATGTAAATATGTCATTACTTATTGGATATAAAAAAGTATAATAATCATCAGTGTTGCAAAGAATATATATCTTCAAGTGCAGCTCTTCTTTTGAAGGAAAATAATGGATTCCTCTCACCTATTACGAAAGGCAAAGATGGACACTTCATCAATCCAATACATGCTCTCCAATACTATGATAAACTCAAAATCCTACCATATGACCGTTGTTATCCATCAATTCCACAAGAATTGCACTAATGGTTATGTTGCAATATATGCAACAAGTACTTTTCATCTCTCAAGTTCATAGCTAATCATAAGCAAAGTAAGCACCCTTCAAAGCGTGGATGCCTATCCAAGTAAAGAATGCAAATTTCGAATACTACTGAAGATATACTGATAGGCACTCCACAGGTAATTATAGAATAGTGTGAGATGCAGTCAGACATAGAGTAAATTAGGTATTCAGAGAGGAGAGAAAGAACAAAAAACAAGAGATGGGATTAGGAAAAAAAATGAAAAAAATCTATATTAATTTTATTAGTATAATATATGATTGATGTAAACCTACATAATAATGCTAAGCATATGATTGGTTACATGGGACCTGATATTGACCTAACCCACCTACTCACCCCTCAAATTATGTGATAAATGGTGCTCCCCTAAGAATGATAATTTTGATATTAAGAATTTTATTAGACTTCTTTATAGTCTCAAAATTCAAAATTTCAAGAATCTGAAAGAGCAAAAGAAAACTATAATATTATATTATTATTTTTTTTATTCTTTTTTTTTCATTAGTTATCATTATCTATAAAATATTAGCTATATTTTAATCTTGTTTATAGATAACTTTATTAGTAATTCTATTACTTTTTCTATCTGTTTCTTAATTAAAGATAAGTTATTATCTTTTTTATTATATTCTTGATCATCTAACTGATAATTAATAAATTGAGTAATTTTATATCCTAAATACTGATTGATTCTGATACTTTTCAGGATCAAATTATGAATACTAGAGCTAGTACTACATATTTCATAAAGTAATATCAGATTTTTTAAATATTATGAAAAATGAAAAAGAAACTTCTTTTTCTTTAACTCAATAAACTTTCAAAAGAATATAGAAAGATATAGTTTCTTATTTATATTTTAATAATATTCAAAATAGATAATAGAGTGAGAAATTTCTTATCCTTTTCTTATATCTAGAGATAAAACTTCTTCTTTTTGAAAATTAATTTGTGATGAATAAGCAATCTCTTCTTTATTTTCTTCTATAAAATTAATAATAAACTTTTTTTTTCATTATTAATAAAGTATAATTTATAATCTTTATGATTTATTTTTTTTTCTATTTCTATACTAATAATAATGACAATTTTACAAACTGTACTAATGATTTTGATATTATTATTCTAATTAATCTTTAGTTAGAATAATTTTTTCAACTTCTAGGTATTGATAATATTAATAACTAATATAAGAAAAGTTATCCTAATATTTAAAGTTACAAATATATAATATTCTAAAGAGTTGATCATGAATAATGTATTTTAAATAGTAACTTTTAAAGTGATAATATTTTTTACTAACAAAATAATAAGACTTTGAGCAGATATGTTAATTATTTGATTTATTATAAAATTAATAGAGTTTTACTTTTATTTAGTTAGTTTTTTATGTTAGTAAAAGCTATAGCTTATTAGTATTAAAATCTGATTTATTAGAACTAAAAATATTTAATTTTCTATGATAATTCTAGATTTTAATTTATTATTCTCAAAATATATTTTTAGATAATTACTATTATAAGAATTCTTAAGAATTTTGCTATCTAATATTCTTAATTTATAGATATCTTTGTCAAAAATTTAATAAATGTAATATAATTCTTTTTATTTCTAAACAAATTTTTCATAATATTAATACTGGATTTTTATTCTTTTTATTAAGACTTTATCTTCAATAAAAAAATATTGATAATTTTTATTTTGTTAATAGATTTTTTTTTATTTTTATTAATATTTTTATATATTTTATTAAGTAATAGTTCTATCTAATTCCAATCTATCTATAATAGTACAAGCTTTTTAACTAATTTATTTAAAATAATATCTTCTTTATTGTCAATTGATCTTAATTTAAGATCTAGTGATATGATAGCTTATCTACTGTTACCATAATAATATAAAATTCTTTAATTTCTTAATTTCTTAATTTCTTAATTTTGTAAATTATCTTAATTTCATAGATCATTTTCTTAATTTCTAATTTTAGTATATTTATAATGGATTTCATTTATTATTATTTAATCTTATTTATTATTATTAATTTCATTATTTGTATTATATTTTAAGTCTTGATATATATTTTGTCTTTAGATATTATTTATTAGTATTTAGCATAGTATTTAGTTTTTGTTTTATATTTGTAATTATGTAATATAATTACTAACAAGTTTCTAGCAAAGTTCTAACAAACTTGTATAAATAATCCTGCTCTCAAATATTAAATAAATATACTTGAAATGCTTTAATCTTTTTAATTATTGCTTTCATTTATCTTTTCTATCATAATAGATCATATCTGATTAATACTTATTTTTCTTGTCTTAAAAATATGAGTAGTAGAAGAACTCTACTTTAAATAAGCCATACTTTTTTGTTTTTATTATTTTTGTCTTTCAGTTGAAATGATACTGAAAGAGAATTTAGTTAGCATATTAAATCTTTTGTTATAGTTTTTTTTGTATTTGATTTATAATTTAGTTTTTGATACCACTTTTTATTTTACACATATCCTCTTCTTTATTTTTATAAATTCAAAAATAATACTTGTAAGTATTGGCACATGAAAATCTTTAGAATAATTTTGATCCTACTCAATATTATAAATAATTCAGTCTTAGCTCTCAAAACTTATTATAAGCTATATCTTAGATAAAATCTATCTCCATAGTAATAGCTTATAATACTATTATAAATAGGATAGAAAGATATAAATTTTGTTAAACTTTATTTCATTATTCTGTAAGTGAAAAATGCTAAAGATATATATATATTCTATTCTTTTTCATATAGTTGAACTAATTTTTTAATAGTATTATATAATATTCTATTTAATTTTTCTACAAGTCTATTAGTTTGAGAATGATATAATATTGATAAATAATATTTAATTTGATATTTTTCAAATAATTCTTTTATCAATTTATTAGTAAAAATTATTTCTCTATCTGATATTATTTCTTTTGAAAAATTATGTTTATAGAAAATATCTTTATATAGAAATGATACTATTACTTCTGCTAAATTATTTAAGATTGGTCTTGCTTCTATCTATTTGATATAATAATTTATAGTAACTACTATATACTTAGTTTAATTAGATCTATTTCTATCTTCTCAAAAGATTCTTTACTTTTTATAGAATATAATATATTATTTCTTCTAGTTTTTCTTTTGTATTGATATATATCACATGTTTTTATATAATTTTCAATATTAAAATATATCTTAGATTAATAATAATTTTGAATAATTCTATAATAAGTTGTTTTAATATCAAAATATCTAGTATATATTATTATATAATTATTAAATAATATTTCTTTTATTTTATTAATTTTAATCATTTTCAAAAGTTGATCTGATTCT